TAGGAAGGAGGGGGAGACTGAGGCAGGAAGCGTTCATTCAAGGTTTGGCTATGGAAGATACTTACCTGAGTTGGATGTGAACTGCAGAGGTGGCGCTGATGAGTTGTGACCACATTGATGACTTGGAGATAATCTGCAGGAGTAGCGCTGATACATTGGAAGTCATATTGATGAGTTGACAAGAGATTTGTGTTGCGCTGATGAGCGCTGGACTCAGGGGAACTTTGAAACACTTTGTAATCCTATTCTGTTAATATAAGCTGTGAAACTCGGTCCTCTCCTCATCTACCTTTGTCTATGACTCAAGACTATTGAACATTGTGTGTGAGGATGATGCATGACATGTACACACTTGCATGAGACGGTCCCCAGGACCCATGCAAAATTTGGTAACGGAGCAGATGCTCGCTGCACTCATAGCACTGGCATGATAAAGGCCGGCGAGGAGAAGTGGTGATGGAGGAATAGTGAAGAAGGAAGAGGAGAGGTGTTGGATGGTGGGGGAAGCAGGCCGCAGAAGAAGTGGCGAAATCTACTTACCTGGAGCGTGCGGAGCGTCGTGGAGCATCATCGGCGGTATCTTCAAGAAGAGAGAAGCACCTCCTTTCCCTGAACCTGCATGTATGTGTGTGTCCCCTACCTTCTCTCTCTCTAGCCCTCTGAAGGTGACTGCTGCTGGTATGGTCAGGAGTCGAAGTCTGGATCTGGGTCGTCCTAGCGTCTGGATGGTCCAAGTGCGATGTGTCAGGGCCTGGTCACACTAGATTAGGTGGTCCAGTGTTCTGCGAGTAGGAGTAGACTTCTCTCCTACCCCTCTCGATAGGCGGGCTGGGTATCGTCATAAGGGACTAAGAATCGATGTAGGAAGTGGCTATCTGCCACATCAGATTGCAAGTACCAGGCAGCGTAGGAATGATATTGAGCATCTACAGGGCCTGTTGAGCCCAATCGAAAGAAACATTGGAACAAAGTATTCCTGCCTGGTTGGATAAGTGAACTATCTGAATCTGATCTTCTGCGCTGTACTCCATACCTGCATCAGACACCCAGCAAGTTAGTACAAAAAATATATATATATCTATATCCAAGAAAGCAAGACATTAGAAACACATTGCCAAAAAGCCTGATCCAGGGAACCAAACAGCATATCAAAAGAAAGAGAGAGTATATCTAAACAGTCAACTTGTTTTAGTTTGATCTATTGTTTGATCTACGCAACACCTTCTACAATCAAAAACAAAAAGAGTACAGTACTCCATCCACCGCAGATCAGGAATTGAGTTTGTAAGTGGGATAGTACCTTGGTGATCCGGCAGAGGGTCCCCTGTGCCAGTAGTCATCATGGATGACTATCCCATCCAGGGCCTGTTGGCCCTTTCCGTCTTGATGGGGCCGCTGTTCCGGTTGATGTTCCCTTTGGGGTTCGGACGGGTATGTACGTCCCGCATGTTTATGCGGTCAGGGACGGTGAAGCCTGGCCCCACACCTGCGGAGCAAGCAAAAATTGACCGCAGGCTGGCAAAAAAGAAAAAAGAAAAGGAAGCGAAGAAGAAACAGAAAGAAGAAGAAGCCAAGAGGAAGATGAAAGAGAAAATGGATAAAGAACTTGAAGAAGAATTGAAAAGTATTCAGGAAGAAGATGAAGAAGAAGAAGAAGAAGAACAGGAGGAAAGAGGAGCATTGCAAAGACGTCGTCAACTAGACATACCTGAGAGTAGCTCAGCAGATCGGCTCCCGGTTGAACCGATGGATTGGGCCGATAAGTACTACTACTTCAGCGAACCATTAAAAGAATCTGATGAAGAACGGGATAAGTTTATCGCAAAGTTGGCCACTGTAACAGACACTGTTGAACGCAACCTGCTGATGGCAGAAAAAAGGGCTAAACTGAATGCCAGGTTGTTAGCTTCCAGACGGCAAGAGCTAGAGGAAAAGAAAAGACTGCAAGCAGAAGGGGAGAAATTGCAGAAAGCTCTAGAAGCACAAAAGGAAAACCCCTCTGAAACCGAACCACAGCTTGCTCTCCTCAAGGAGACAGTCCTCAACACAAGGCAAGATATGAATTTAATGCATCAGACCCTACAGAGAGTTGAAGCGCATCGAGTTGAATTCGAAAATGTCTGGAATAACTTCTTGGAAAAGGCAGCCAAAGACGTTGACCAACATGTGCAAACTTATATTAAAGTTTTGGATGAACATGTTACTAAGACAGTTACCCCGGAAGTCATAGAGAAGATTGTAAAGGGGGCTGGAGGCGACGGAGGAAATGAAGATGACGACGGCGATGATGACAAGAAAGGGAAAAACAAGATTGGAGATCCAAAAGAAAAACTTCCTCAGGAAACCGGGCAGGTTAGCAAGATAAAACTTAAACTGCCGTGGACTTACAATGGAAAAAAGGAAGAAAGTGTTCTGCATTGGGCCGCAGCAATCGAAACCTATGTGTACGGCCAGCGTATCCCATATTGGGACAGGGTATTAATGGCAACTTCATGCATGGGAGGCGATGCCATGAGCTTCGCCATCTCGCTGCAAAAAGAGGAGGGATGCAGCTCTATGCTAGAGTATTCGCAGCAAACGCGAATTGAAGATTTCCTCAAGTTAATAAGAGAAAGATTCGAGGACAAGAATTTGGCGAGGCGCACAGAAATGTTAATCCTCAGCCTTCCGGATAGGAAATGGAAAAGTACCTCTGCCCTGAAGGCAACTATGGATGAATTGTTGCAATGGCCTGATCACGGATTGACGCCGGCCCAGATCTTGAACAGTTTTGCACGAGCACTTCTGGATCCCCTACGAACCCAACTCTATCCCCGCACTAAAGAAGAGGGGATGACATATGAGAAGTTCGGCAAGATCGCAATAGATCACGCCGGCTTCCTTGCCGAAGCAAATTATTGCCATTATTGGAACGATCTGCAAGCGGGTAAGAGATGGCAAAACCGCACTATCTCAGGGTCTATACCTGGGAAAGACAGTCTCCTTCTAACCTTTGAAGAAGGAGGCGCCGAGACCATCTCCTGGGATCAGGTAGACTATGGTCTCGATGAACCCAACAGACCGGTAGCTCAGGAGGGGAGTTACACGGCTGTTGCAGCCCGCGAGGGAGGGCGTCAAGGAAGAGGGCGTGGCTGAGGAAGAGGTCGCGGCCGTGGTGGACGAGGATTCGGCACCCAGAGGGGTGGTGGTGAAGGAAGCCACTACGTGGGAGGAAGGGGAAATGGTCCCTCATACGGTGGCCGTGGTTCTTACTCCACCTGGGGTAGAGGAAGAGGCTCATGGTACAACAAGTGGGATAAGCCCATACCCACCACATCCAGGCCTACCGGAAGGAGAGCCTTGGAAAGAATTGGGAATCACAAAAAAAGTCTGGCAAGAGAGAAAGAAAGCCGACCAATGCCTCAAATGTGGGGACCCCGATCACATTGTCCCCTATTGCCCAGACTATAGGGGGGCAAAAGGGAACAGCCAGTAGAGGTGTCAGTTGCCTCTACCGAAGCTTCGAATGTTGAAAAACCAGAATCCTCCCATTCGAAGGCTCCACTGGCAGAAACTGAAGAGGAGGGAAGTCCTCATCTAGTGCCCTGTCCAGAGGTGGCAAACGTATGCATCTCTCTAGATGGATCCCTCGCTGGCGTGGGTGATGAGTTGGCCGCTCGTCGCCAAGCCTGGACTGAAATGCGAAAGAAGAAAGGACAACTAATAATTACGGATCTTGAAATAAATCGAGTCAGAGTAGGAGGTATGATAGACAACGGGTCTACATGCAACTATATTAGTAAAAGAGGATTGCAGAAACTGCGTCTTGGGCTTAAAAGTTAAGTAGTTAAATGAGCCCATTGTAAGTAAATTGGCGAATAGTAGTGAAACCGTCATGGACCGATACGTCGAGGGGGTTCAAGTATACTTCCGGCTAGAGGCAGAGGGGAAGGTGGAACGTGTTCTCCACTCTCTGACCTTCTTGGTGGAGGATAACTTGCCCTTTGATGTGTTGTTAGGAATAGATTGGGGTGAGGCTGCGCATGCGGATCTAAAGTTGAGGGAACATGAATGTTGGCTTCCAAGTCCGCAAGGAGGTAAGAAGAAAATCCGCCTCTATCATGAATCTAGAAAGGAAAGCAGCCTAGCTCACTGTTGCATGAGTGCCCCAGCGTTCGCTCGCCATGTTAAGAAACATAACTTGTATGACCAAGTCTTTGTTGCATATGTGCGCCCAATGAAGGAAGGAGAGATTAAGGAAGAAGTCAAGTCTCAAGAGATTGAAAGGATCCTGAAAGAGTTCGCAGATGTGGCTGAAGCCCTAAGCGGTGTGGTGGAAAGACCAATCCGCCACCGCATCGATATCCTTCCAGGGATCCCGGCCCGCATCGATATCCTTCCAAGGAGCGCGACCCCGAAGGGGCCTATCTATCGTATGTTGCCCCAGGAATTGGATGAATTGCGAACCCAACTCGATGAGTTGTTGAAAAATGGATGGATAAGACCTAGCTCCTCGCCCTATGGTGCGCCTGTGCTCTTTGTTCCTAAGAAGGATGGCGGCGTTCGCATGTGTATAGATTATAGGCGATTAAATGATATAACTATAAAGAATGTCGAACCATTACCGCGAATAGACGATTTGCTGGATCGCGTGCAGGGTTGCAAAATCTTTTCAAAGATTGAACTGAAATCCGGCTACCATCAGATTGAGGTTGAGCCGGAAGACCAACACAAGACTGCCTTCAGAACATGGTATGGGGACTATGAGTTTATAGTTCTGCCCTTTGGTCTCACGAATGCCCCTGCCACTTTCCGAAGAACAATGAACGAACTATTTTGTGAGTGGCTTGACAAGTTTGTTGTGATTTATCTATATGATATTTTGATTTTTAGCAAAGATGAAAAGGAACATGCTGAGCACCTTCGACTTGTGCTAAACAAATTACGAGAAGCAAAACTCGAGATAAACCCAAAAAAGTGTGAATGGGCTAAGTGCCAGGTTCTCTACCTAGGACATGTGATTGATGGAGATGGGGTCAAACCGGAAGATGCCAAAATAGCAGCGATCAGGGATTGGCCAAACCCCCGCACCTTGACTGAGTTGCGGTCGTTCCTTGGGTTAGCCAACTATTATCGCAAGTTTGTGAGACACTTTACGATAATAGGTGCTCCCCTTCGTCGATTGCTTAAGAAAGAAGTAATTTGGAAGTGGGATTCAGACTGCACGATGTCTTTCAAGCGTCTGAAAAAGTGTTTGATCAACTACCTGGTTTTGAAAGTGGCAGACCATTCATTACCTTTCATGGTCACAACCGACGCTAGTCAATATGGTATAGGTGTTGTCCTTCAACAAGACGATGGGCATGGATACAGGCCTATGGAGTTTATGTCTTGCCGACTGCCTAATGAGAAGGTGGCCGCTTCAACGTATGAACGAGAGTTGTATGCTCTCCGTGAGGCTCTCAATCATTGGCGACACTACCTTCTAGGACGACATTTTAAGGTGTATTCTGACCATGAAACACTTCGCTGGCTCAAAACGCAGGCTCGAATGACACCTAAGTTGACAAGGTGGGCTGCAGAAATTGATATGTTTGATTTTGAGTTGAAGCCAGTAAAGGGTAAATATAACGTTGTTGCTGATGCACTAAGTCGTCGATCAGACTTTTTCGGTGCTATTGTGACTTATTTAGATGTGGGTGCTGACCTACAAGAAAGGATTAGGAATGCGTATCCCTCTGATCTTGTTTATGGAACCATGACTAAGCTAGTGCAAGAACGGCCAACAGAGTTTCCCGATCATAAAGTGACTCAGGGTCTATTGTTTGAACGAACTGATGTGAATGATAGGCTGTGTATACCCAATAATGAAGAGATAAAAAGTATGACCTTGGGGGAATGCCATGATACAGAAGGCCATTTTGGGTGGAAGAAGACCTATGGGACTTTGTTGCTTTCCTACACCTGGCCTCGCATGAAAGCAGACTGTATCGCGTATGTGCAAGGTTGTCAAGTGTGCCAACGGAACAAAAGCACCACGCAATTGCCCCTTGGGCTACTTAAACCCTTGCCTATCCCTACAGGCCCTGGAGACTCTGTCTCTATAGATTTCACGGATACTAAGGTGAAGAGCAGAAATGGGAAAACGCAAGTAATGGTCATAGTGGATAGATTCACTAAGTATGCTGTTTTTGTAGTTTTGCCTTCGGAAGCAAAGACTGATTTGGTTATTCGGGCGTTCTTTAAACATTGGGTAAAAGACTTTGGACATCCCTTCACTATTGTGAGTGACAAAGATACCCAATTCACCAGTGAACAATGGCAGCAACTGATGAATGTATATGGCTCCAAGTTGACTATGTCATCAGGCAGGCATCCTGAGACTAATGGCCAAACTGAGCAGATGAACAAGATTTTGCAGCAAACTTTACGCACGTACATCCGTCCCGATCAAATTGACTGGGATGAACATCTGCCTAAAGTTGCTAGTGCCTATAATAACTCTGTACACTAATCTATGTGTAAGACTCCTATGGGGTTACATCTCAGATGGCGTCCACGCAGACCCATTGATCAAGTACATAAGCTTCCTATAGGGACTAGTGAATTTGCAGTCCAATATCAGAAAGACCTTGAGAAGGTAAAAGAAAGCATACTCAACGCACAACATCAAATGATTGAACAGGCAAATAAACACAGACGACCATCTCAATTGGCTGTAGGAGATTTGGTTTGGGTGAAATCTAAAGAGTTTGCTCCTGAAGAAAGCATCTCTCAAAAGCTTTTACCTGCCTACAGAGGACCTTGGCAAGTTTTAGATGTAATTGGAGATGTGGATGGTCCTTCATATCTCATTGAGATTCCTCTACATCTACGTACATATCCAGTGTTCCATGCGTCCAAGCTCTGACCTTGTGTAACAAATGAGCTCTTTCCAAGTCGCCGATCAACGATACCTCCAAGTATGGATGGGAAGTATGACGTGGATAAAATTGTTGCAGAAAGTACTTACCACACTGGACGTAGGGGCAGACCACAGCGACAATATAAGGTGAGGTTTGCATACCAGGATCCTAGTGAAGATCGCAGGTTTACAAGAGAAGAACTGTTAGATTCTGCACCTCATATTGTGTCCGCATACGAAAGCGCAAAGAGAGGGATTCATATCCTTGATAGGTAAATGATTCTCAGAGGACTTCGAAATTAGGCCGGCGAGAGTAAAAGGGTCTTTACCCGATGTAGGCTTTAGGCCTTGTAAAAGTAAGCAACATGGGCTTTGTAAAAGTAAAGCAGCCTGAAAGGGTATCTCGCCAGGGCTCAGAAAC